AACAACTACCTAAGAGTTTAGTTATTATACTAGTGCGGTTGATAGCACCTAAACTTGTAACTTTATTATTTAAACTATGTTCGCATTTTAGGCTGCTAATATGATAAACCAATCCATAAATCCAAATACGATTAGCAACAACGACTATGATGGGTTTATTGATAAATGTTAAAGGCGATTCAGATGATTCCTAAATTTAGAAGACATGAAGATATAGTGCAACGCACGTACGGGCCAGGTTAGCATGCAGGTTTCTGACGTGTATGACAATTTAAAAATAATGAACAAGACCAGAAAAATAATTTTAAAGTTGAGACTGCTTATGAAACTTCAGGCAGGAATATGACTCATTATAAACCTTCCATAAGAAGTTCTTGCATGTAGCTTGATTTACTTACCTACTTACGCCTTTCACTCCTCGTGAAAGAGCATAGACCGCTCACCAGAGTTCTCCGTCCAATCCTGTCCTGGGCAACCCTTTCCAGGTCCTTCCAGTTGTTATTCATCCTTTTGATGCCTGCTCCAAATTCCCGGCTCATTTTGTTCTTTGGTCTTCATCCTTTCCGTTTCCTGTCAGGATTTCAAGCTAGCGCTTGCTTCGTGAGATGCAGTTCGATGATTTCCGTAATGTATGTCCTATCCATTTCCATCGTCTTTTCTTAATTTCCTTTTCATCTGGAAGCTGCGCTGTTCTCTCCCGCAGTAACATGTTGTTGCTGATGATATCCGATCAATGGATGTTGAGTATCTTGCGTAGACAACCATTTATAAATACTTGTACCGTCTTGATGGTGGTTGTTGTAGTTCTTCAAGTTTCAGCTCAGTACAGTAGGACCGCTTTGACGTTCGTCTTGACGATTGTGACTCTGATATTGGTTGAAAGTTGTTTTGAGTTCCATATGTCCTTCATTTGTAGGACTGCAGTCCTTGCTTTGCCAATCCTCACATTTACGTTTGCATCTGATCCTCCTTGTTCATCGATGATGCTGCTCAAGTATGTGAAGGATTCTACATCTTCCAGAGTTCCGCCATCAAGTGTGATTGGATTGCTTTTCTCCGTGCTATATTTTAGAACCTTGGTTTTCCCCTTGTGTATGTTGAGGCCTACAGATGCAGAGACTGCTGCTACACTGGCTGTCTTCATCTGCATTTGTTCGTGTGTATGGGATAAGAATGCCAGGTCATCTGCGAAGTCCGAATCGTCTAATTGTTTATGAGCTGTCCATTGTGTTCCGCGTTTTCCCTCAAATGTCGAGGTCTTCATAATCCAGTCGACCATCAGAAGAAAGAGGAAGTGAGAGGGTATACAGCCTTGTCTGACTCCGGCCCTTATTTGGAATGCATCTGTCAGCTGTCCTCCATGCACGACTTCGCACTGTAGTCCGTCGTATGAGTTCCGGATAATGTTGACAATCTTCTCAGGAACTCCGTGGTGTCGAAGAAGTTTCCATAACGTCCTCCTATCTATACTGTCAAATGCCTTTCAATAGTCAATGGAGTTGGTGTACAGTGACGGGTTCCACTCAACTGGTTGTTCGACGATGATCCACCGTGTCGCAATATGGTCTGTGCACGACCGATCTTTACGGAATCCAGCCTGTTGATCTCGAAGTTGGGCGTCTACTGCGTCTTTCATCTGGTTCAGCAACACTCTGTTTAAGACTTTCCCTGGTACTGACAGTAGTGTGATGCCTATGTAGTTTTCACACCTGCTCAAATCTCCTTGCTTCGGGATCTTGATGAGGTGTCCTTCTTTCCAGTCCATCCACACTTGTCCCTCCTCCCAAATCTTTTTGAATAGAAGATAAAGCATGCTTGTGGTTGCTTCGATGTCTGATTTCAGTGCTTCAGCTGGTATGTTGTCGGGTCCTGCTGCTTTCCTGTTCTTGATTTGTCTGACGGCCATTCTAATTTCTTCCGTAGTTGCTGGATTAACATCTATAGGAAGATCTGTATGTGCTGCTTCGACGTCCGGTGGATACATTGGAGCCGGCCTATTCAAGAGTTCCTTCAAGTACTCTACCCATCTGTTCCGCTGTCTTTGAATTCCAGTGATTGGTCTTCCTTCTTTGTCCTTGACCAGTCTCTATAGTTTACTATATTTCCCTGCTAGTTTCTTCGTTGTATCGTAAAGCTGTTTCGTATTTCTTTCGGTTGCAGCTTTTTCCGCTGTCGTTGCTAGCTGTTCCACGTATTTCTGCTTGTCGGCTATAATGCTCTTCTTCACTGTGTACTCAGCTTGCGTTCGTCTGTTGTTAATTGCTGTCTTCTTGTTCATCCTTTCTTTGATCCTGCCCAGTGTTTCTATAGAGATCCATTCCTTATGATGATGCTTTTTAGGCCCAGAACCTCTTGACACGTTGGAGTTAATGCTTCTTTGATGCCTTTCAAATTTTCCTCCATAGTAGTTTCTTCTTCATTCAGTAGATCCTGTTAGGCTCGGAACCTGTTGTTGAGAGCTATCTTGAATTCGTTGATTTTGTTAGTATCTCGAAGGAAGGCTGTATTGAACCTTTGTAGCGCTGTTTGTCTAGTTGTCAAGTTTTTCTTTAGCTTCAGTTTTAAACTGGCTACAACTAGGTGGTGTTCTGAAGCTATGTCAGCTCCTCTCCTGGTTCTCACATCTTCCACTGTCCTTCGGAATTTTTTATTGATGCAAATATGATCTATCTGGTTCTCTGTGATGTGGTCCGGTGAGATCCATGTAGCTCGGTCTATACGTATGCCGCCTATGACCAATATGTTGAATGTACACAGATTTGTAAATCTTTCCCTATTTTCGTTTCTCTCTCTCAGTCCATGTCGTCCCATGATATTGTAGTGACTTATTTTTATCAAGAGAACGCAATTGGTTTAATGACCTTGCACGAATTCGGTTACGCTCATCAACTACAGTTGTACTCCTTTAGCACGATCATGGTATTCTTTCGATACCACGAGATCACCAACAAATACATCTCGACTACAGCCATCAACTGCTTTCTGATATCTGGCCTACAGGGGGTCTTATCGGTTAACTGGCACGTAGTCTTCATGTAATGGTGATTACAGTCTATCGCGAATCGACGCCACACTACAATATCTTCATATCCGGTGTTGTCTATTCCGACTTTGGCGTTTAGATCTCCCATGAGAATGGTGGCACTTACAAATATGTGGAAAAGCAACTAGAAAATATATACATGTTAAGCACAAAAAACCGTCTGGTAAAATAGTTGAACTCGCCTGGATTCTTTTTGAAAATTAGATTATTAAGTAGACAACATATATAACGCCATTCGAGAGTAGTACTGATGTAAAAGCATCCAGAATAAAACATGCAGTATGGCAATTAATTTCAGGGTGCTTGATGCTGTTGACGTTTTTGTCACTCGCTCGGATCGGAACAATTGAATGAATCCAGATCATTGAGTGGTTGCCATTGAACGAGCCATCTAAAGTGACCTTATGATTGCAGAAAGCTCATAGCTGAAACTCACCGTATGTTTTTGTAGTGGTGTCATCCTTATTGTTTGGCAATGGAACTCGAAAATATGAAATTAAGCAGGCAGTGGTCGGAAGAAAGGATATTACAGGATAGTGCATAGTTTAAAACAGGATGAGGTGTTAAGTGAAGGAACACTAAGAATTAGATCCAGATAACTACTTAGTCCTTGAATGAATTGTTAGTCAATGTACATTTACGTTATTTACAGGTCATATTTGCTAGAGCTTGATGCTTAGACAAGTCTATGTCGCTGAAGCATGTAAATGTTATTAAGGCTTGTTAACGAACCATCAAAGCTAATTAGTTAATATTGATGACCACTTTTTATTATCGATTGAGCTAGTAAGTTATGAGAACTAGTCAATATAACATTACGATAATACATCTGATCGTTAATCAGAAGAATATTAGAATAATGGGTTTACACAAATATAATCTATGAAAAAGGTTAGAGTGGAAATACGGATTAACAAAAATAGGTTGTGTTTCTCTAGTCGGGCTTGCCAATGTAGAATCATGGTCTACTATGATATTAGTACTGCTCTAATAATAGACCTAATCCTAAAATTGTAGATTTTTCATGATATAACTACCTAATCTAGGAGATCTTACGTGGAAGTAACATCATCGTCTACAACAACTCACTGTATCGTAACAACTACCAATACATGATGCGGAACAAGCTTAGGCTAGAGAAAGAACAATATATTTAATATGGATAAAAGATATGAGATAACATTCCGCAGGGACCACTCCTGCATGGTCAAGCCATGACATCAGATCAACTCCGATTAATTCAACTCATTGTTCACGACCTTTCGATCGTTAGTTATTTATCCGTGTTAAATATCGCATATCCATTTTAAGAGTAGTCTCGTGTTCAGCTCTGAGGATTGTGTGGTTATATCTTATGTTACTACAGAACTACTGTTTCGGAAAGCGGCTGTTCTTTGCTGGAAGTCGCCAGATTTTTCGATATCATATCGGTTTTGACTAAAACCTTGCGTCCGACTTGCGAACAACCTAATTTCGTCATGAGGAATTCACGTATGGAGTTATTGTACTTTATGGATTTTCTTGTCCACTAACATATTCGACTGTATGATTATGTATTTTATCACTCAAGGAATATTGGCCAATTTCGTGTTCTGAATGTTCGAACTGAAACGACTAACGTTCTAAAACTCTAGACAGGACTGTTGAAGTTACTGTGGCTCCTAAGTGTAACAGTCGGCTCGTCGAGTGTTCTGTGATATAAGCTGACCAGTTGTTGTAAAAGGCGAGCAGCGCCAAGAACATAAAAATGATCTGGTGTGGACGAATGATCAATAAAATAATTTAAACACTATGAATTTGGTATAAGTGAGCAAATATAGGTCAATTATAACAAAAAACTCAACAAAACCTATAAATTAAACGCAACGGGAAGCCTAATGAAATGCTATTCAACAAAGATCTCAGAAATAAGGAAAACCGAACATATTCACTAATTAATCCTTAATCTTTACCAAAAGACTGGCTAACATCAACCGGTTTCACCACTGATATATTGGATATTGGAAGTAACCTGAACGAGGGCGGTGTACTGAATGTAACGTCACTCTTCATACAAACCTTTTATTACTTTGCTGAGGTTGCCAGTTTCTTTGTTACCTGGATAAAATAACATTTCCACAGCATTTTTCATCATGGTGTGTTAGTTCTACTTCCTCGTGGAATGGGCACTCATTCACTCTATCACTTAGTAATATTATTAGAGGAAACCAAGAAGAAATTATCAAAATCGCTTTCATACAGTTGTAAGTTATCATATGTTTCACCTTTATCTGTATAGCTCCATCCTTACCGTATCCATTTATTATTCGGAAGTCGCTAAAAAAGGCTAGGCACTCCGAATTAAATACTTCAGATATTCAAGGTAGCAGGCAATTTAATCAAATTACTGTGGAGACGTATACAATGGGTAGGGGACCTGTATGTGTGTCAATATCATTTTCTTACAGATACCTCAGAGTCGTGGGATCTAGACAATTGCGAAGAGATAAGTTTTCTGTCGGGTAATCCAACAGTCGAAACCACTGAAGGTATCATACATATATACAAAAATCAGTACGTAGTTTCAAAACATCCTAATGCTTCTTAGGAGAGAAGTTCCACGATGTAATGACATGGTTACGAGCACTGTGCTATGTTTCTTTTCTGTACCATCTCATATAACAGTGAAAGACTTACTGAGGTTTATTTCACCTATGCGGTTTGTTTGTAAATTATAGGTAAACTTTTCAGTAATGTGATTGTAGAGCTGAAAATCGTAAAGGATAGTACTCCAAATCAGTATATGGCATTGATAAAGTTTCGTACACCTGTACGTATATGTTATTTCCGTTTTACAGCTGTAGGAAGACACAGGCCATTTTTATGATACTTACAATGGCACTTCTTACAATAATTTGGAACAAGAAGCGTGCCAACTAATGTATGTCTCACATGTAGAGATCACGCACCCTTCTACAGTATGATTACATTAACCATAACTCGTTCACACTTTCAGGGCGTTGCATTTCCCACCAAAGATTTAAGGGAGTTGCCTTCTTGTCCGGTGTGTTTGGAGCGTCTGGTTAGTTTCTGTATTTATGATCTTTTTCACTACCTTCATTCTTAAACACAGGATGAACCCGTGCAAGGGATACTGACTACGATTTTATGTAACCACACATTCCATGATGGGTGTATTTCACAGGTAGAAGATACCATGTAAGACAAAAAATTTTTCCGCCTTATTTTCTAATATAGTTGCCCAGTTTGCCGTTATGTCCAGTCACCTGAAATGCTCTCTGACAGTCAGTGTGCAGACTGTGATATAAGAGAAAACTTATGGATTTGTCTCATATGTGGTCATGTTGGTTGTGGTCGTTATGGTCAAAAACATGCACAGGTGCATTTTGAGGAAACAGGACATACATTCGCCTTAGAGCTCGGCAAAACTTTGGTCTGGGATTACGCCGACGATGCATATGTTCATCGGCTGGCTGTTAATCATGAGGATGGCAAATTAGTTCAGGTCAGTAAATTTACCGTTTTTGTTTTCTTGCTATTAGTGTATTCTTTTGTGTAGCGCGAAATGTTAGGTTACTAAGATATGCGTTTGTATAAAAGTTTATTTAGTGGGTTGTATAAAAACATACGAAGTCAATGTATTTTTACCATATTCTTCTCATCTTGAAATTCTAACTTATTTGACTAGGTTATGACATTGAATTATTTACTAAAATGCTTTCTGAGCAGTTTCTGTATTTGACCCAAACGTTGATACTAATTTACACTCCCCAGATGTCCTGGTACGTCCGAGAGTGGAGAGAGTCAGCTCACCCTCTCGAAATGCTTTCATATGTCCACGCGTGTATAGCCTCTGCCAGGGAAGTCCTACTCACTGCCTCCTCGTGGCATTACTGTTGTGTACGAAATTGAGAGAACGAAAAGCGAAACTCCGACTCTCTAACCGGGTTGGTGGACACGGAGAGTCCACGTAGGGGGGGTTGGAAAACTCAGACTCCAAACCAATGGTGCACGTGGGCTCCAGTTTCCTGAAGGAACAAATGGCGTGTGAACCAATCGTTGGTCACCGGCTACCATAAGACTGCATCTCCTTACGGTGCTCCACTGCCTTGTGGATCAGACATTCAGGTCGAAGACTCCGGGTGTGGGTCCATAAGAAAACCACTTGCTTCGGTTTGGGCACCCGAGCGGTGTCGCAGCCCTCGCTTAAATCAAGTGAGATTTGGGTGGCGCATATGTATCTGGTGCTTTCTTGTACCAATATTTGTGTTCAAATAAGTAATAAATAAATAAACACACCAATCATATAAATAAGACAGGTTTTTTTCTTTAGCCTTGAATACTTTTGCCAAACCTTTTGGATATTAATGATGATATCTGTCCTTTGCTCGTAAGGATGAAATGATATAAGACCTTTTACTATCTTATTTGTTAAATTCAGTATACAGCTAAATTCCCGACCGTTGCTATTACCTTGACGTGGTGGTCGGGCTTGCCTATCGTGATGAACCAATCGAGTTATACTGGCTAGAACAATCGTTCCTCAAGGTCCAACCATGCCAGGCAGGTCGGTTGACAAGCGGTAAGACTAAAAGCAGCAAATCCAAGGTCCGAAAGCGAAGTCATACTGCTGACTGTACAGAGGTGTGACAGCAGTAAGATGTTTCCTTCAGACAACTAGCATGACAGCGATGCTGCCTTCCCACTAGGAAGAGTGTGGTTAGAAAAGGTCGACCCCAAACGTGCATATCTCGCCTTATCCCACGGATATCCGTCTCCAGCGATAAGGTCCCAACAAGTACGTGTGTGACTGACTTCAAGCGGTTGTCTCTAAATTCCCGACCATAGCAGATACCTTGACGCGGTGGTCGGGCTTGCCTATCGTGACGACCCAACCGAGCTATATTGGCTGGAACATATGTTCCTGTAGGTTCTACCATGCTAGGCAGGTCGATTGGAGAACGGTAAGACTAAAAGCAGTAACTCAAGGTCCGAGGGCGAAGTCGTACTGCTGACTGTAGAGGGGTGTGGCAACATTAAAATCCTTCCTACACCTCCTAATACCTCTCTTATCTCCATGACTAAACCTCCTCACGTCTCTTTATCATCTCGCCGCCAGACCAAATCATGGCACAAATCCATGAAGTCAGACAAATGGACTGAGTCATGTTGGTAGGTGTAGACTAGCTAGTTGGGGACCGCGATATGATAGCAACCGATGGTTAGAGACCCTGAATGACATGGCTCAAAATCGTTTGCAATGGCGCAGGTGCATACACTCTTTGTGTTCTCCCAAATTTTGATCTCATTCCTCCTTGTCTCTTTTTTTTCTCTTCCCAAATTTATTTCACTGTATTATACTCTTTAAATAACATCTCCAAACCCTAATCTTCCCGATTACTGCTTATACTCTTACTACCTCTACCACTACGGGATTTGAATCGACCACTGCATCTCTGTGCTAATGTGGTGTGGCAATTCGAACTGATGTACGTACGTACGAAGTTCTACGTTGTTATTGACTGACTGACTGTCTCTTAGGCACTAATGAGACTCTCAGGTCACTAAGACCACCTCTAACCCAATTTCCTTTTCAGGTACCTCCAGGAGAACCCTTCCACGGTATGGGCAATCGGGAAGCGATAACTGCCCTCATACCTCTAACAGCACTTAAGATCACTGTATCCATAATCAATCTCCCTCTTCAATTCCTATTATTACTCCTATTTCAACTTTCAACTCTTCTAGGTGGTGCACTTATCTACCTAAAATACACAAATGATATAGTCCTGTTTGGTGATGTCGCTGATAAAATGCAGTCTTTTGATAGCACTGAGCAACAATGCCAGGATGTTCGGGATGCGTTTCTCCCCCTCTAAATGCAAGTTGTTGCTCCAGGACTGACCTGCGTCAACACCTGGACTACTGATTGGGAGTGAAGTAGTTGAACGCGTCGACAACTTCACTTATCTTGGAAGTCTGGTCACCTTAATGGGTTGGTGTCTGACGAAATCTCAGCACGGATTCAGAAAGCTCGTTTGCATTTTGCCAACCTACTTGACCTATGGCGAAGGTGAGATATTTGTCTATCAATAAAAGGACGAGTATACTGTATGGAAGTTCGTTCTGTTCTACTTTACGACTGCGAGACGTGGCTATTAAGAGTAGAAGATACTCTTAAGCTATTAGTATTTGACCGCAGATGCCTCAGAAATATTGCTGGCGTCTGCTGGGATCACCTGGTAAGTAATAGTGAGGTTAAACATAGGGTATTAGGGAATGATGGTAAATCAGTCGATGAGGTTGTGAATATTCATCAACTGAGATGGTTGGGCCACGTGTTACGTATGACTGAACACCGATTACCACGGCGCGTAATGCTAACTAGTGTTGGGGATGGTTGGAAAAAAGTTAGGGGTGGCTAAACCAAAACGTGACATCAGTACTTGAAGTCACTAACTTCTAGTCTTAGCCATATTGGTAGATGCAGACTACTTGGTTGGGGTCCGCGTGACTTTCGTAACCAATGGCTGGAGACTCTTGGTGACATGGCTCAGAATCGATCACAATGGCGTAGGTGTATACACTCCCTGTCTTCCCTTAAACTAAGAGATTAAAATCACTTCATATCTTTCCTTCTACTAACTAATTCTTCCTTCCTATACTATATCCTTATATGCAATCTTTCTCCTATATATTACCACCTTTGACCTAACCACTCCTATGAATCCGGTGTTCATCTTGCTGTGTTAATGAGGTATGGCAACTTGGACCGATGCACATATGTGCCTGGTCCTACGTTGTAGCTGACTGACTGAATGAATGAATGCAGAGGTTCGGTATCGTGTGTTCGGGCACAGAGACGATAATGCAATCGGTGTCACCATCTTGAAACATCGACTTCGGTGGCTTAGACATGTTCTACGAATGTCGTCCCTGGGAATTCCACGTCGTACATTATTTGCCGACTCTGAGACTGGCTGGAAAAAGCGGAGAGATGGTCAGTATATGACATGGTGTCGTGGTATGAAAGAAAGCTGCAAAGGGCTGGCTTGTGTTGGTCCTTCACGACTCCCTAGCTGGGGTCCGAGAAATGGTGCAACACAGTGACTAGAGATGTTATCAGATATGGCTCAGAATAGAAGCCAGTGGCGATCCTGCTGTAACCTTCTTTTACTTTTTTCATAAAACGTGACCGTAACTTCTTTAACTGAAAGAATTCTTTCTGGTTGTACCTTTCTGTTTCTACCATTATTATTTCACTACCATACAGTAATTTGTGGTCGTTATTGTCCTTTTTTACACGCACATTACATTCTTTATCTCTTCCCATTCTCATTATTATTGTATGGCGCATATGTGTCTGGTGCCCACTTGTAACAATATTTGTGTTGAAATAAAATGTGGTTCCCCCCGTAAAGAATTTCCAAAAATGATATTCGGATACCAGTTTACGCTATTAACTGACCATAAACCATTGCTGACCGTATTTGAGTAAGAGAAGTGGACTCCTGTCTACATAGTTACAGACTGCAACGGTGAAAACCACGCTCACGGGTTACAATTTCAAGATTAAGTACCAGCCTTCTATTCATTTTCGACAACAGATACTACTCTGTCAAGACTGACTGGTTCACAAACGAAACATGAAGATGCTCTCGTAGCAGCAATTGAACCTGAAACAGCTCGTCTAGAGTTGAATGACGCAGTTGATGGACAATGAGTTATTTTCGAAATTATAAGAGAAACCACGGAAGATGACAAGATGTTGATAGAAGTTAGGAATCATCTCACCAAACGGCCTAACCATTGTTCTTAAGGAGAACTGCTACAGTACTTGCGTCGGTGTGAATCGTTTATGATCGTCTATTCCTGTATTATGTTTCGTGTAGCAGAATCGTTGTTCAAAAAACATTACACCAGAATGTTCTGAAATTATTCCACAGCGGTCATGCCAGCATCTACGACGTGAAACCTTTGGTATAGAGCTATGTTTACTGGGCTTCAATAAACCAGAATATCAAAAATGCATGCCGAAATTGTCCATCGTGCCTCCAAGCACCAAGAAATCGAAAGAAAAATGAACCACAACAACGGCCAAAGCCGAAAAGACCCTGGGAGAGGCTGCACACAGATTTTGCTGGCCCAGTACAAAGGAAAATGTTTTAAATCATTGTCGATCTATTCATAACACGGCCGGAAATATATATTATGTCAAATTGTATAACCAATGAAAAGGCCGGCTAGTTATCGGATTTGTTTCGCTGTTTCGGAGTAGCAGAGATCTTAGCGGCCGATAATGGTTAACAATTCATTTCAGAGTCATTCAAGCATTTCTATGGCATGAACGGAATAACGCGCCTACGTTCACCACCTTTCACCTTCACTAGAACGGACAAATAGAAATTTTTGACGACACATTTAACCGACCATTACTAAAAAAGAGACGAAGGGACACGTCAGGTAATCACAAAGTTCTTAACAAATTATAGAACTAGTCCAAACCACACTGTCCCAGATGGAAAGTGCACTGTCAAAGTCATGTTTGGAAGAAGTGTTTCGACTATTTTCAACGCCACGTTGCTACCTAAAATAATAGATGGCCACAAAATTAGAATATTTTAAGTTTCAATGTGGGGGAATAAAGTGGTTGTCAAATCATACCTTGGAAAAATTCGATTGGAACCTGAAATTATTAAAAAAAATACCTGGAAAAGTTATGTCCAAAGTGCGTGGGGGCGTTTAGAATGTGGACCGGATATGTAAACCAAATCCGTGAAGATAAAGGGACAATAAACACGGAAGGTGAACCTACCACTGGAGATAATTACAGATATTCCAATGACGGAAACCCTCAACAACGCCATAAAGAACAAAAGTAGGAAGGGTTGGATAAGAAAGACATCCTTGTTGTTCTGTGTATAAACTAATCTTGTAGTAAAGTGTTCTTTCCGCAGTTCATGTTTTTTCTCTTATGTTTAAGTTACCGTGTAGATCTAGGGTTATTAGAAGAGGCTAAGAAATTGGATTAGGCGTTCGTTTTGCAGACAACATCTATTACCCTAGTACCATTGATGATAATTATCATAATTACAGCATAATCGACCTCCGCAGGTCACGGTTATATTTATACATATCCCTGCAAGCTTCAGTTACAATTCCTATTGTGACTATGTATACTAATCAGTGTAATTCCAAAGAAATTTATGATGTAACTGTAACTCTTTCTTCCTATACTATATCCTTATTGCAGCCTTTGACCTAACCACTCCTATGAATCCGGTGTTCATCTTGCTGTGTTAATGAGGTATGGCAACTTGGACCGATGCACATATGTGCCTGGTCCTACGTTGTAACTGACTGACAAACAGCTAAATTATTTAACTAACCTTATCTTAATAGTATTTCTATGCTTGCAAGAATGGTTTACATGAATGTTAGAAAAAGTTTGTCGCTTATTTTCTGTTCACTAATTTGCTATGAAACGCCGAAAGCTTCATAATGACACTACTAAGTCTAGGTTTCGCTTGGTGATTCTAACTAACAAGAGAGTGGACGGGTTATTCCCAAACTTTTCTACTTCGATTATAGTCAGAGAAACAATTGATCTTAAGTAATTTTTCTGTTTTCGTCTCACCATACTTCATCGTTCAGAATAATACAACCGTGTATAACCTGGTTTATAGGCTAATATATAATCCTTCATATAGCTGCCTTGTATTTGTTTCAGCTTGGACCCAATAATGAAACTGGTAACAAAAAGCTAGATATAATTAGCATGGAATTCAGTGCCATCTTAACAAGTCAACTGGAATCACAACGTGCATACTTCGAGTCCCAACTGGATTTAATAACTACTCAGTCAAATGTTCGTCTCGAAGAAATGGAATCCCGTGTCGAATCTGCCTTATCTGCTGCGCAAACAGCCGAAAAGAAACTCTCTGAAGTCATAAAAGAGAACTTAGTTATCAGTCGTAAATTGCAACAAGTACGTCACACAAAAATTTAACATTTCATTTTTATACAAAAACATTTAGTAGACTACTGTTTCATTCTGCCTGTTTCACTAAATATCACTTTTTGTAAATAAGTTTCGGCTCCGTACAGTAGAACTATCCTGACGTTCGTATTAATGATTGTGACTCTGATATTGGTTGACAGTTGTTTTGAGTTCCATATGTTCTTCAACTGTATGAATGCTGCCCTTGCTCTCCCTACCCGTACCTTCACATCTGCATTAGATCTCACTTGTTTATTGCTGATACTGTCCAGATACTGCTGCTACTACTCTAGCTTTCTTCACCTGCATTTTTTGATGTGTGTGAGACTGAAGGGCTAGGTCAACTACGAAATCGAAATCGCCTAGTTGCATGCAAGCTGTCCACTATGCCCCGTGCTTCCCCTGAGATGTGGTTTATTTATTATTATTATTTGAACACATAAATATTGGTACAAGATTGCGCCAAATATATATGCGCCACACAAAACAATGAGAATTTAAAGAGAAGGAAAAAGAAAAGGTAAGGAGCGTAAAAGAAAGAGAGAACAGTAACGAAGAGATTGGTGTAAGGTAGTGCAATAATAATAAGGATAATAATGGGGGAACGGAAAGGTACAATCAGAATAAGTCTTTCAGTTAAGGAAGAAACAACCACTTTTTTATGAAGAAAGTAAAAGAAGGTTACAGCAGGATCGCCACTGGCTTCTATTCTGAGCCATATCTGATAACGTCTCTAGCCAATATGTCGCACCATTTCTCGGACCCCAGCTAGGGAGTCGTGAAGGACCAACACAAGCCAGCCCTTTGCAGCTTTCTTTCATACCACGACACCATGTCATATACTGACCATCTCTCCGCTTTTTCCAGCCAGTCTCAGAGTCGGCAAATAATGTACGACGTGGAATTCCCAGGGACGACATTCGTAGAACATGTCCAAGCCACCGAAGTCGATGTTTCAAGATGGTGACACCGATTGCATTATCGTCTCTGTGCCCGAACACAGGATGCCGAACCTCTGCATTACTAACATGGTGTTGCCACTGGATGTCAGCAATCCTTCGGAGACAGTGATGATCGAACACAGAGAGTCGTCTAACGTCCTCAACTCGGAGAGGCCAGGTTTCACGAGCATAGAGCGAAACTGCTCTCAACGACGTGTTGTAAATCCGATCTTTTACATGAATTGATCTCGTCCCTCACGCAAGAATCAGCACTTATGCAGCTACCCAGATACACGAACTTCTCTACTACTTGGTAGGACCTTGAGGAACGGTTGTTCCAGCCAGTATAGCTCAGTTGCTTCATCACGATAGGCAAGCCCGACCACCACGTCAAGGTAGCAACAAAGGTCGGGAACCTCTGCATTACTAGCATGGTGTCACCACTGGATGTTGGCAAGCCTTCTCAGACATCGGTGACCAAACACAGAGAGTCGTCTAACATCCTTATGACGACGGACCACCGATGAACTCGAGGAAGCTGTAAGAGGCTCAGAAGGAGCCGAAGACGTTCCTACCAATCACCTTTCGGAAGAATACTCTAGAATTCATACGTGTAGTTTCCCGATTGGATAATGCGAATAACCCCCTGTATGCGGATTGGAGGACTCTAATGATGATTTCGTTCTCACAAAAACTATAAATACCTGACAATTTTGTACTATGATTGACACTGTTTGGAATAGTATTCCTTTCATCAGTTTTCTGTCTTCTTGTTGCGACTTGGAAGGATTCTGGCGTTCTAGTGCTCTGCTGCACGCGGTATATCAAGAAATAAACACTCAAGATATAACAATCCTCAACTCAGAGAGGTCAGGTTTCACAAACATAGAGCTAAACTGCTCTCACCGACGTGTTGTAGATCCGACCTTTTACATGAATTAATCTCGTCCCTCACGCAACAATCAGCACTTATGCAGCTACCCAGATACACGAACTTCTCGACTACTTCTATCTGCTCACCATCCAGAGTGAGTACAGGATCAGAATCCTGCCAGTCTTGTAGAAGTACTTTGCACTTCGAAGGTGCAAAGTACATACCATACCTACGAACAAAGATTGCCAACTGATTAAGTGCGGATTTCATGGCTTGGGCATTATCGCACAGTAAGACAATATCATCCGCATACTCAAGGTCGAGAAGTCTTTCTCCAGGCAACAGATCCACACCACCATTACTTACATCCATCAGAGCTGTTTCCAGAATGTTGTCGATGGCAAAGTTGAAGAGGAATGGTGAGATTGGGCAACCCTGTCTAATACCACTGCTTGAATGGAACAATGGAGAAAGGTGGTTTTATGCCCTCACTCTACCTGAGGTGTTTTTATATAGGGCTTTTAGGATGTTAATAAACTTCTCAGGCACACCCTTTAATAGACAATCGGAGAGAACAGTCCCGTCCAACGAATCGAAGGCAGCCCTGATGTCAAGAAACACTACGATTGTTGGCCTTTGATAAGTATGACGGTGTTCTAACATTTGGTGGAGGGTGAAGATATGATCAATACATCCTTGACCAGAACGAAACCCAGCCTGCTCCTCGCGAGTCAATCTTCCCCGGGTTTTGAACAACCTACTAAGTATGACGGAAGCCAATAGCTTGGACGCAATCGGAAGTAGACTTATCTCCCGATAGTTGTTACAGGAACGACGTGAAACCTTTTTAAAGATAGGGACAACTATCGACTCATTCCATGAGTCATCGATGTTTCCGAGGCAGCGGGCCAGTTGAAGTGCCCTTCGAAGAATTCTTCCCATCGTCCAAGACGTCGATGGATGTTAGGGATTGGCATCCCGGACATTCGCTTTTCGTCTTCTCATTTTCGTAAACAACACCCCCGACACGAGAAGGCAATGAGTAGTACTTCCCTGGCAGAGGCTGTGTACGCGTGACCGTGTGAGAGTATTTCGTGAGGGAGGGCGAACCCACCCCACTCTCGGCCATATCAGGGCATTTGAAGGCTTTAAGGTGTCGCTGAGATGTGGAGGTTTTAATTATCAGTCAACCATCAGAGAGAGTAACCAACCTTGTTTGACTCCGATTTTTAGTTGGAGTGCGTCTCTCAGCTGTCCTCTATGCATGACTTTGTAGTGTACTCCGTCGTATGAATTCAGTATGGTATTAACCATTTTCTCAGGTACACCATAGTGTCGCAGGCGTTCCAATGATGTTCTTCTATTCACATTGTGTGTCGACATAAGTAATATACACCGCAAAACTACATAACCCTAAACTTTTTACATTATTGCTGGTGTTAGTCGGTGATGAGAACTGTTCAACCGTGTTCTAATTTGGGGGACTTGTCGAGTAAGGTAGTGTCCAAGAATACTAAACGACCAGAGTAGCTGGGCTGTAATAAGAGACAACATAACACCAACCCTCCCGCTCCTCTACCGACACTTGAGACTGGCAGTAACCTCTGGAGGGCTTCAGGTGAATTTAACCTTGCATGTGCCTGAAGGAGATCGGCAGGATTCTCTCACTTGAAGTAGATTTCTTATTAATTGGTGCATGACAAGGAGCATCTGGAAACTGTAAAAAAGTGATTTCTGTGAGATTAAAACGTACGTTGACACTACTGTCACAATCAGAGACATTACTGTTGAGCTATTCAGGTAACGGTGGCCGTCAAATAGACGTGATATAGTAATAATAAACGATACTCGGTACATGCGATTAGTGGCTTAACTCATTTTAATCGACAGATTACACTTCAAAATTCAGTGATAAAGTATAAAATTCTGAAAAGTATGGTACATACAAGGGATGAAGACCATCTAACTTACACTTTTTATATTTCTAATGAATTCTTGAGAAAGGCAAGCTTGAGCTTCAACAGAGATTCGGAAGAAGCTATTATTAATACAAAAAGTAAAGATAAAGGAATTAAATGCAGACAAATGGGTAAATAAAGATCATCATTATTATCACTCTTATTACTTAACATTTATTTCCGAAATTTGCATTTTTAATATACAGATTCGATATTTATTACGTAGCAGGCTCAAATTGTAATCACACTACATCTGATACTCGGTGATACTATCCAGTAGCCTAGATTAAAGTGGAATTTAATTTGAACCTGAGTGACTCACTAACTAAGCTACAGCTCGACATAAAGTAATTACAGTGACTCCAAATAATGTATAATGATGGTAAGTACACACTCTCTTCAACACCTAAAATTACTGCACAATTGTGTGTAATTGAGATGTTAAGCGGCTTTTTTTGTCATGTAAAAGATGTACATATCCATAGATAATTAACTAGTTCGCCTTGACAATAAAAAGCAGAACAAGTAAATGAACAGAACTAAATTCTTATGAAAACCTTATGTTAGCAAATGAGTAATACTAAAATTAGAAGCCCATCACATCAATAAATTTAACATCTAATTAAATTTCTTATTTTCTGCCTAGACATAATAATGTAGTTCAGCAAAGATTTACTTAATAGTCATCATACTACAATTTTTCAATTAAAGCTATTGTAGTACTTACTAATTGTTTGCACACAATGAAGATTACAGTGATCTAAGTATATTGTGAAAAGGCAAAGTAATTTAATCATACTTAATAATTACTCCATTTACATCGATTTATTGGGAAATACTGACTATTGGATTCACAATCATCTCATCAGCTAACTATAATTGTTCTTCACTTTCTGTCTGACCCTAAACGTTTTACATTATTGCTGGTGTTAGTCGGTGATGAGAACTGAATGTGGTGATAGTCCTAACTCATAACAGTACCCCAACTACTACTCTGCAAAACCTAACTGTCTTCTTTTAATGAAAAGAATAATTCGACATGTGAGGGTTGATTATTGAAATCGAAGCTCTTATTCAATTGTTATAATACTGCTTTTTGCCATTAATTCTTTCGTAACTAGGCAGTGTTTCCTGATTGGCTGATAGGTTGCTCAAGGTCGTCAGTACATTATAGTTTTATCGTTTATAGATTAAATAAACAAACTTACCAAGCTAAGATTTGTGATAATTCTACAAAATCTATATCAGTATTATGTACGTGAACTAAAATACACTCAGAGAATTTATGTAAATATTCTAAATAGGCCGAAGTGAATTGTGCCAATGAAGAAATGGATTGAAAGTAAATTTCCTGTAAGGAATAACAACAGAACAGGAACAATTAATCAACATAAATTTTAGTAAAAGGTTTCAACAATATATTTCATCAAGTATAGACGCTTACACGTACAGGTATTCGAGTACAAGATTTAATGTGTAGCACGATAGCTTAGTATAGTTAAACCAATTGATTTTCTATCGCGGAGTTCTAAGTTCAAATGCCGTCCCATCAAAATCGGTTCAGACAGTCAGAGACAGACAAAGCTGACTCAAAGTATAGCACGCAAATTTGTACTGGTTAAAAGAACCATGCTAAACTACCTTACAACCGTTGGTAAAAGACTAGTATTTATCTGTAGCCTGCGTTCACCCGGGCATGCTGACATCCGAACAAGAATCCTAAACAAGCTCGAACATTACCCCAACACGGACCTGCAGGAAGTAGCTACCGAATGTCAAAGGTTAGTGAATCTGAAGGATGATACCTCGGTGGTAGAGAACGGCAACCAGTTCCTTCATTTCAATGCAGTCGAGAGAAAAGTCTCACAAGGTTCCAGCTTACAGAATTATCGTAATGACAGCGACAAACCATCATCCCCATGCTGGTTATGTGGCGGCTGGCACTTCAAAAGGTTTTGTCCGTTTAAAAATCATCGTTGTTCTGTGTGTTCCAGAAAAGGGCACAAAGAAAGTCATTGCAAAACCCGAAAACGCCGTCAACCGAAACTGTATTCTGAAAGATTCAAGCCACAAACAGCTAAAGTAACAGTAGCTCTACACAAAGCTGGCTCACATAACCGCAGAAAGTATTTTTCTCTCAAGACTAATGGGTATGATGCCCGCTTACAGTTAGATGCAGCTTCCGATATAACGCTTATAAGCAGGAGAACGTGGGGACCGAGATTATATTCAAGCCATCAATCAGCACATAGTGCATCCGGGGGATTTCTAAACATTGCTGGTGAGATTCATTGTGAAGACACAGTCAAAGAGTTTACGGAGAAGGGTGTAATATTTCTGACAGACCGTCCATCACTCGACTTATTGTGGCTTGATTGGATAGAAAGGTTGAAGTTAACAGACCACCCCATAAAATCAATCTGCAACAACGTCAGTACGTCGAAAGTTGATGAGAAAAACTCAATGGAAGCATTATCAAAACGACACAAAATGGTATTTAGTTATGGTCTTGGAGAATGCACTAAATTTAAGGCTGCTCTTACCCTTCGACAGGGATCAAAACCAGTGTTTCGTCCTAAAAGACCCGTACCATATACTGCCCTCCCAGTGGTTGAACAATAGCTAGAACGACTTCAGGAACTGGGTGTCATTGAACCGGTGAGTTTCTCAGAATGGACTGCACCGATAGTAGTAGTAAAGAAGACTAATGGTAGCGTCCGTTTATGTGCCGATTACTCAACCGAGTTGAATGAAGCCTTAGAAACTCATCAGTATCCATTACCCTTATCTGAAGATCTTTTGCTAAACTGAATAGAGGTAAGCTTTTTGCAAAGTTGAATTTATCAGAAGCTTATTTCAAATCCCTGTTGCTGACGAGTCTAAAAACCTGATCACCATAAACACACAAAGGGCCTATTCCGGCACAATCGACTACCCTTTGGAGTGAAGACGGCCCCATCCATATTTCAGTAAGTAATGGATAATATGCTACAGGATGTTCCAGGTGCTGCAGCTTATCTGGATGATATAATAATTATGGGAGTAGATAGAATAGACTTAGAAAAAAGCTCGACTAGGTGCTGTCGCGAATAGCCGAATATGGACTTCGGCTTCGTCCAGAGAAATGTAACTATTGTATGCAAAAAGTACGCTACCTTGGATTTATGATCGACAAATATGTCAGAAGACCAGACCCGGAGAATATCCAGGCAGTCAAATTTATTTATTTATTTAATTACCCAGACCGACGGACGTCCCCACACTACGATCCTTTTTCGGACTAGTTAGTCATTATGGAGCTTTTATTCCGAACTTTCATCAATTACGTGCCCCCTTAAATAACCTTCTGGCGAAGAATGTAAAATGGAATTGGTTTGCAACTTGCCAAGCTGCTTTCGATGAAATCAAGAAAGTACTAGTCTCGGGTCCGCTGCTCACCCATTACGATCCATCCTTACCCATCATAGTAGCATCAGACGCTTCAAACTACGGCATTGGAGCAATCATTTCTCACATCATGACAGATGGATCTGAGAAAGCGATATCAAATGCGGCTAGATCGGTAACGTCAGCAGAACGTAACTACAGTCAGATCGAGAAGGAAGCATTGTCGATTATCTTCGCTGTAAAGAAATTTCACAAGATGATATTTGGACGTCAGTTCACTCTATTAACTGACCATAAACCATTACTAGCCATTTTTGGGTCGAAGAAAAGTATACCTGTATACATGGCAAACAGACTGCAACGTTGGGGAACTACACTCTTGGGTTATGACTTCAAGATCAAGTACCAGCCCACTACTGATTTTGGACAAGCTGACGTTTTATCTAGACTGGTTGGTTCACAAGTAAAACAGGAAGAAGACACTTTGGTGACAGCAATCGAGACAGAAACAGAAGTACATCGAGTATTGGAAAACGCAGTCGATGGTTTACCAGTTACTTTCAAGGACATGAAAGAAGCCACGGAAAATGATAAGACTTTAAGAGAAGTTAGTGATTATCTTCTCACCAAGTGGCCGAACAGTCGTTTTCAAGGAGAAATGCTACAATATTTTCGGCGACGGGACTCACTCATGATGGTTGACTCATGTATTATGTTTTGTGACAGAATTATTGTTCCAAAAACATTACGCTACAAGGTTCTGAGACAATTCCACAGCGGTCATCCTGGCATCAATATGATGAAAGCATTGGCTCGAAGCTACGCATACTGGCCTACGATGGATCAAGATGTCGAAACCAGATGCCGCAATTGTTCATCGTGCCTGCAAGCAGCTAAAAGTCCATAGAAGTGTAAACCGCAACAATGGGAAAAGCCCAATAGTCCCTGGGAAAGGCTGCATGCAGATTTTGCCGGTCCACTACGAGGAAGAATGTATCTAGTCATAGTAGACGCACTCACAAAACGGCCACAAATCTACGCCATGGTAAATTGCACAGCCAGTGAAACAATCAGCAAGGTATCCGAACTGTTTAGATGCTTTGCAGTTCCGGAGACTTTAGTGACCGATAACGGCTCACAATTCACTGCAGAATCATTCAAGCACTTCTGCAACGTTAATGGGATTGTACATATACGATCTCCACCCTATCACCCTCAATCAAATGGCCAGGCAGAGCGCTTCGTGAACACATTCAAAAGGGCACTACTGAAAGGGGAAGGACAGGGGACAAGTTAGGTAATTACGAAATTTTAAACAGCTTACAGAACCGCGACGAACCTAAATATCCCAGATGGGAAATACCCTGCTGAAGCGATGTTCGAGAGAAGCATCCGAACTATATTCGGCGTCATGTTACCACCTAAACTAATGGATAGACGCAAACAAAATCAGAATATTCGTAGTTTTAACGTCGATGATAAAATGCTCGTCAAATCATACATTGGGAAAAATCGTTGGGAACCAGGAGTCATTGAGAAGAGAATAGGGAATGTTTTATACAAAGTGCGTGGGACCTTCGGAATGTGGATTAGACACATTAATCAAATACAAAGAGAGAAAAGGACTCTAGACACGGTAGATAGTCAAGTAAGGCTTCCGCTAGATATAATTACAAATACTCCAATGACAGAAACCCCAACAGACACTCATAGATGCTGAATACCAAGAAAGTCCGAACGCCACAGAAATCCAGTTATAAAGCTGCAAGTAGATCCGAAAAAGAGGTCTTATTTTTTGAAAGTGGGGAGGTGTTGGGTGATGTAGAAAATTTCTCGCGAAAGACTACCGTGTATGATAGAAAATGAGAGTTTGCTATTAATCTATCTTATCTGGCTAGAGTTATAAATGCTTATTGATTAACTTCGTATGTATTCTGAAATCTAAATCACTGGAGATAATTATCGTTACTTCCTCACGAGATTTTCGAAACCAGGTACACAAAAAGATTGAAGTTACTTTAGCACGGCTGAAAAATTTACTGGTTTTGAAAATCTCGTGAGAAAGTAAACTTAATTATCTTTCGGGGTTTAGACCTCAGGAAATATACAAAGTTAATCAATGAGAGATTATAATTGGAGTCAGATAAGATCGATAACTAGTAAAATCATTTTTAGAACTATCGATATTACTGGACGACAGGCTTGAGGAGAGCAAGGGTGTGAAAAAAGTTTTTTTAGTGCGTGGGTTGGTAAAAATACAAAACTCAAAGCACAGTCTTTTAAATGCTATTCGTGGTCAAGTTATATTGATAGTTCTAACAAGGATTTTACTGGTTGTCATGTTTTAATACTGACACAAAAACCAATAATCTGTGTGATGATGAATATTTTTATAACGATGAGCTCGATTAATCACCCCATTGGTAATTCAGATTCATGCTGTTTCCAATATCGTTTCTGACACCATAAACGCTCAATAATACGGAAAGAAACTTCAAGAGGGCAACATTCAACTCAAATATGTGTTAGGTTGTATGCTGCATGTAACTGACTGGATCATAGTATTATCTCTAACTTTACAACTAATAACAATTCTCGAAGTGAAATGATTTCACTTTACTTTTTGAACTCCCTTGTTTTGTTCAGATTTTAACCAGTTATAATTAGCACAAACGTGTGTTACCCCAAGTCGTCATGCCAAATTTAATAAAGAAAATGTATGAAATAAAACCTAAATATTTAGTTTTGTAAATACCCAAATGATGACTAGCATCTTGTCCGAAGTTCAGTGGTACTTGTAGCCTGTTGGTAAAGTTGTACGTTACGATCGTCAAACTGAATGGTATAACATTATGGTAAAATCAAACTGGATGGTCTTATTTTTTAACTTCACGCCCTAAGCTTATTCTTATGTAATTACATCAATACTTGTTTCTTTTATTTTGATATGAAAGATAAACTTATTTTGAGATATCACGAAAATGCAACCAACAATCCATGCGATATGCAATCAATTTTTTTTAATATAAATATATTGCACAAACTTACCTATTGTTCCCGAAACATTTGATATCTCTAAAATAATCTATTTTAAGGCAACATCACTAGCTCAACGTTTACAAAAGGATTTGGAAGAAGAACGTGCTTTAAATCGAAGTTTACTTATAAATGAGAAAACCTGGCGTGAAAGAACAGAACAAGCGGAATCGGAAGCGAAAACAGCCCGTGCAGAATGTAGGGAATTACTATTAAACTTGGAATTACGAGATAAATTAAATGAATTAAACACAAATAAAGAGGTAATCTCTCTCTCTCTCTCTCTCTCTCTCTATATATATATATATATATATATATATATATATATATATATATATATATATATATAGTTGTACTGCCTTATATTCTTTGACTGGAATGTCCAATTAGTAGAATTTTTCCTAGCTCAAAAAGTGTAGCTTATGATCGAGTATATGGACTCTGTTAGTGACTAGTGAGTTACAGTTACATCATAAATTTCTTTGGAATTACACTGATTAGTATACATAGTCACAATAGGAATTGTAACTGAAGCTTGCAGGGATATGTATAAATATAACCGTGACCTGCGGAGGTCGATTATGCTGTAATTATGATAATTATCATCAATGGTACTAGGGTAATAGATGTTGTCTGCAAAACGAACGCCTAATCCAATTTCTTAGCCTCTTCTAATAACCCTAGATCTACACGGTAACTTAAACATAAGAGAAAAAACATGAACTGCGGAAAGAACACTTTACTACAAGATTAGTTTATACACAGAACAACAAGGATGTCTTTCTTATCCAACCCTTCCTACTTTTGTTCTTTATGGCGTTGTTGAGGGTTTCCGTCATTGGAATATCTGTAATTATCTCCAGTGGTAGGTTCACCTTCCGTGTTTATTGTCCCTTTATCTTCACGGATTTGGTTTACATATCCGGTCCACATTCTAAACGCCCCCACGCACTTTGGACATAACTTTTCCAGGTATTTTTTTTAATAATTTCAGGTTCCAATCGAATTTTTCCAAGGTATGATTTGACAACCACTTTATTCCCCCACATTGAAACTTAAAATATTCTAATTTTGTGGCCATCTATTATTTTAGGTAGCAACGTGGCGTTGAAAATAGTCGAAACACTTCTTCCAAACATGACTTTGACAGTGCACTTTCCATCTGGGACAGTGTGGTTTGGACTAGTTCTATAATTTGTTAAGAACTTTGTGATTACCTGACGTGTCCCTTCGTCTCTTTTTTAGTAATGGTCGGTTAAATGTGTCGTCAAAAATTTCTATTTGTCCGTTCTAGTGAAGGTGAAAGGTGGTGAACGTAGGCGCGTTATTCCGTTCATGCCATAGAAATGCTTGAATGACTCTGAAATGAATTGTTAACCATTATCGGCCGCTAAGATCTCTGCTACTCCGAAACAGCGAAACAAATCCGATAACTAGCCGGCCTTTTCATTGGTTATACAATTTGACATAATATATATTTCCGGCCGTGTTATGAATAGATCGACAATGATTTAAAACATTTTCCTTTGTACTGGGCCAGCAAAATCTGTGTGCAGCCTCTCCCAGGGTCTTTTCGGCTTTGGCCGTTGTTGTGGTTCATTTTTCTTTCGATTTCTTGGTGCTTGGAGGCACGATGGACAATTTCGGCATGCATTTTTGATATTCTGGTTTATTGAAGCCCAGTAAACATAGCTCTATACCAAAGGTTTCACGTCGTAGATGCTGGCATGACCGCTGTGGAATAATTTCAGAACATTCTGGTGTAATGTTTTTTGAACAACGATTCTGCTACACGAAACATAATACAGGAATAGACGATCATAAACGATTCACACCGACGCAAGTACTGTAGCAGTTCTCCTTAAGAACAATGGTTAGGCCGTTTGGTGAGATGATTCCTAACTTCTATCAACATCTTGTCATCTTCCGTGGTTTCTCTTATAATTTCGAAAATAACTCATTGTCCATCAACTGCGTCATTCAACTCTAGACGAGCTGTTTCAGGTTCAATTGCTGCTACGAGAGCATCTTCATGTTTCGTTTGTGAACCAGTCAGTCTTGACAGAGTAGTATCTGTTGTCGAAAATGAATAGAAGGCTGGTACTTAATCTTGAAATTGTAACCCGTGAGCGTGGTTTTCACCGTTGCAGTCTGTAACTATGTAGACAGGAGTCCACTTCTCTTACTCAAATACGGTCAGCAATGGTTTATGGTCAGTTAATAGCGTAAACTGGTATCCGAATATCATTTTTGGAAATTCTTTACGGGGGGAACCACATTTTATTTCAACACAAATATTGTTACAAGTGGGCACCAGACACATATGCGCCATACAATAATAATGAGAATGGGAAGAGATAAAGAATGTAATGTGCGTGTAAAAAAGGACAATAACGACCACAAATTACTGTATGGTAGTGAAATAATAATGGTAGAAACAGAAAGGTACAACCAGAAAGAATTCTTTCAGTTAAAGAAGTTACGGTCACGTTTTATGAAAAAAGTAAAAGAAGGTTACAGCAGGATCGCCACTGGCTTCTATTCTGAGCCATATCTGATAACATCTCTAGTCACTGTGTTGCACCATTTCTCGGACCCCAGCTAGGGAGTCGTGAAGGACCAACACAAGCCAGCCCTTTGCAGCTTTCTTTCATACCACGACACCATGTCATATACTGACCATCTCTCCGCTTTTTCCAGCCAGTCTCAGAGTCGGCAAATAATGTACGACGTGGAATTCCCAGGGACGACATTCGTAGAACATGTCTAAGCCACCGAAGTCGATGTTTCAAGATGGTGACACCGATTGCATTATCGTCTCTGTGCCCGAACACACGATACCGAACCTCTGCATTCATTCATTCAGTCAGTCAGCTACAACGTAGGACCAGGCACATATGTGCATCGGTCCAAGTTGCCATACCTCATTAACACAGCAAGATGAACACCGGATTCATAGGAGTGGTTAGGTCAAAGGTGGTAATATATAGGAGAAAGATTGCATATAAGGATATAGTATAGGAAGAAAGAATTAGTTAGTAGAAGGAAAGATATGAAGTGATTTTAATCTCTTAGTTTAAGGGAAGACAGGGAGTGTATACACCTACGCCATTGTGATCGATTCTGAGCCATGTCACCAAGAGTCTCCAGCCATTGGTTACGAAAGTCACGCGGACCCCAACCAAGTAGTCTGCATCTACCAATATGGCTAAGACTAGAAGTTAGTGACTTCAAGTACTGATGTCACGTTTTGGTTTAGCCACCCCTAACTTTTTTCCAACCATCCCCAACACTAGTTAGCATTACGCGCCGTGGTAATCGGTGTTCAGTCATACGTAACACGTGGCCCAACCATCTCAGTTGATGAATATTCACAACCTCATCGACTGATTTACCATCATTCCCTAATACCCTATGTTTAACCTCACTATTACTTACCAGGTGATCCCAGCAGACGCCAGCAATATTTCTGAGGCATCTGCGGTCAAATACTAATAGCTTAAGAGTATCTTCTACTCTTAATAGCCACGTCTCGCAGTCGTAAAGTAGAACAGAACGAACTTCCATACAGTATACTCGTCCTTTTATTGATAGACAAATATCTCACCTTCGCCATAGGTCAAGTAGGTTGGCAAAATGCAAACGAGCTTTCTGAATCCGTGCTGAGATTTCGTCAGACACCAACCCATTAAGGTGACCAGACTTCCAAGATAAGTGAAGTTGTCGACGCGTTCAACTACTTCACTCCCAATCAGTAGTCCAGGTGTTGACGCAGGTCAGTCCTGGAGCAACAACTTGCATTTAGAGGGGGAGAAACGCATCCCGAACATCCTGGCATTGTTGCTCAGTGCTATCAAAAGACTGCATTTTATCAGCGACATCACCAAACAGGACTATATCATTTGTGTATTTTAGGTAGATAAGTGCACCACCTAGAAGAGTTGAAAGTTGAAATAGGAGTAATAATAGGAATTGAAGAGGGAGATTGATTATGGATACAGTGATCTTAAGTGCTGTTAGAGGTATGAGGGCAGTTATCGCTTCCCGATTGCCCATACCGTGGAAGGGTTCTCCTGGAGGTACCTGAAAAGGAAATTGGGTTAGAGGTGGTCTTAGTGACCTGAGAGTCTCATTAGTGCCTAAGAGACAGTCAGTCAGTCAATAACAACGTAGAACTTCGTACGTACGTACATCAGTTCGAATTGCCACACCACATTAGCACAGAGATGCAGTGGTCGATTCAAATCCCGTAGTGGTAGAGGTAGTAAGAGTATAAGCAGTAATCGGGAAGATTAGGGTTTGGAGATGTTATTTAAAGAGTATAATACAGTGAAATAAATTTGGGAAGAGAAAAAAAAGAGACAAGGAGGAATGAGATCAAAATTTGGGAGAACACAAAGAGTGTATGCACCTGCGCCATTGCAAACGATTTTGAGCCATGTCATTCAGGGTCTCTAACCATCGGTTGCTATCATATCGCGGTCCCCAACTAGCTAGTCTACACCTACCAACATGACTCAGTCCATTTGTCTGACTTCATGGATTTGTGCCATAATTTGGTCTGGCGGCGAAATGATAAAGAGACGTGAGGAGGTTTAGTCATGGAGATAAGAGAGGTATCTCGCCTTCGCCAAAGGTGACGTAAGTTGGCAAAAGCCAAACGAGCTTTTCGAATCCGTGCTGAGATTTCGTCAGACACCAACCCATTAGGGCAGATCAGACTTCCAAGATAAGTGAAGTTGTCAACGCGTTCAACTACTTCACTCCCTATCCTTAGTTCAGGTGTTGACGGAGACCAGTCCTGAAGCAGCAACTTGCATTTAGAGGGAGAGAAGCGCATTCCAAACATTCTGGCATTGTTGCTTAGTGCTACCAGAAGACTCTGCATTTTGTCGGCGTCTTCACCAAACAGGACTATGTCATCTGCGTATTCTAAGTCGATAAGTGGACCTCCTGGAAGGAGATCAATACCCGAGAATTCAGTCGACGAGAGTGTTATTTCCATCAATAGGTCTATGATGAAGTTAAACAAAAATGGAGATAGTGGACTGCTTTGTCAGACACTGTTTGGGATTGCAAAATCAGATGACAGTTTGCCATAAGCTCTGACTCGACTAGTAGTGTTCAAGTAAAGAGCCTTCACAAGGTTTATGCACTTCTGAGGTACGCCTTTCAATGACAGACACAGCCACAGAACCTCTCGGCCTACAGAATCAAGTGCTGCTTTTAAGTCAAGAAATACCACCATCGTCGGACGCCGATA